AGTTGATATTCAATATTATTTTACATTAGTTTCAGGTGTGCGGCCTGGTGGTTAGACATTCCTATAACGTACGGAGTGATCCCCCCGGGAAGAGTCTGGTCCCTACCTGGCCCCACACTTAGTTATTACAGTATTATTGGCTATATTCCCTGTGCTTTCCTTTGCATCTCCGTGGCTGTTTTCTCACTACCAATTTGTACTTCTTAATCCCTGCACCCTTTTCACCCAGTCCCTTAACCGCCCCTCTGGCACCCACTGGTCTGTGCTCTGCTCCTCTGAGGAAGACTCAGTACCCTTGTCTTTGGGGTGGGTAGGGGTGGGCCCGGTGTGGGGGAGGGACGGAATAGTGCCTCAGCCGTAGGCAGTCTTTGGGCTCAGTAAGATCAGCACCACCGTGCCTGGCGTCTACTGGCCCCTCCATTTTTCCTTTGTCTCAGGTAATTTCCTTAGAAATATAAATAATTTGTAGTGTGTTGTGGGTTATAGTCTATTAAATTGTTCTACTGCTGTTGATTGCAGATTGTCTCATTTATCCATTTCTTCCTTCCTCTTTGGTGAATTTCTTCTAATTTTTTTGTTCTTAAAGCCTCTGTACAAATACAAACTCTTCATTAATTTCCATTGAGGTTTTACCCAGCGGCCCCCCGGCTCCCACCCTTGTGTTCTGAGCAGTCACTCTCTCCGTAACGTCTCTCCCAGAGCGAATTCTTCCTTCTGAGAGTCACCGTGCCACAGCACAGGCCCCGGTTTGTGACAGTTGCGCCATCAGTAGAGGACTTCAGTACATTTGCCATCTTCAACTGATGAGCTATGAAGTCATTTAAGCTAAAAAGAACAAGGTAACTCTGTATGTCACGACAGGAAGTGACGTGACAAGGTGATCTCTACACGAAAAGGAAAGCAAGGCATAGAGTACATAGTAGGCTACCATTTGTGGGGAAAATGTATCTGCTGAAAACAAGCAGACACACCCCTTCTCCAGTGGGGGGAAACAGGTGGCTGAGAGGATGGGAGGGAGGCTTTTTGTTGTCAACCCTCTAGCACCTTTTGAGTTTTGTATCATATGAATATATTTTGTACTGAAAAATCAGTTCATTTGATATAAATAGGTAGGCTAGGTATGCTAATAAGAAAAAATTATTCCCCTTGTTAAAATGTTAAGAATTAAAAGTCAACTGAAACAGAAATAACTTTGTCATTTTGAGGTCCTTTGTCACTTACTGCCACCTCTTTGCCACCGGAGAGGATCTCAGAATCATTAGTGAGGGTGCTGAGTGACTGGAAGTGACTGGAAGAGAACGTTGTCTCCCTGGCTCGGGGGAGGGCCCCCCACCGTGGGCCTTCCAGCGAGTTTGCCACTGCGAACCTGGGAGGGCAGGCCCCTGGCCGTCTCCTCCCCTCCCTCCCCTCCTCCAGGCCTCTGATCAGCCCTGCCGTCCTCAGTGGCGGTTCTTGTTCTGTTGGCATGGATCTCCACTTCTTTAGTCACCAGTGGGCACAGTTTCTACTTGACTTGCTGGCAGGACTAATTGGAGTCATCCTTTTCCATATTTGGAAAAACTGCACTTACCAACTGGTAGATATATTTCTCCAGAAGCTGTCAACTCCCGGGCTATTAGAAGTCCCCTTCCGTTTGTTGCAGGCCAGACCCTCTCTTCCCTGGCTTCCTTGTCAAGCTCTGAAGGACTCAGGAAAGCTGCGGCCGTGTCCTAAAGGTGGGTCATAGGGCCCCCAGAGCGCGCAAAGACCAGAATGGTCGTTGTGTGTGATTAAGCAGGACCTCGGTTCTGCTTTTGGACGTCCGGAGAGGAGCATCTTCACTGGTTGGTTATTAGGGTATTTTAGGAACTTGCGGATCAAAGGCCTTTCCCTAGGCCAGGTTTCTCAACCTCAGCCCTCGTAGTGTTTCGGGTGGGGTAATTCATTGTCATGGGGGACTGTCCTGTGCGCTGGAGGATGTTTAGCAGCATCCCCGGCCTCTAAGGCACCAGAAGCCAGTAACGTTCATCACATTGTGACAACCAATAAATGTCTCCAGACGTTGCCAAATGTCCCTGGGGGGCAGAGTCACCCCTAAATAACTTGTTTAAGTAGGTAAACTGGGGATAGGTGCTTTCCTAAGATACGGCTTCCTGTGCCTTTAATTAAGTCTCTGGAAACTGATACCTAATAGCTTTGTAGGACAATCAGAAAGGAGTGTTTGAATTTGGATGTATTAATACCGAGTTGCCTGGTCTAGTATTTACCAAGAAGAATGCCCCATTTTATTTGAAATTATGGGGCAGTAAGTTCATCCCTTGAGTGAAAGGCATCTGCCTTGTGGTGTGGAATCTGTCCAAGGGCAGGGGGAGGGGGTGTATTTCAGACCCATCAACAGCCCCATTCCCACAGGAGCCCTGGGCTCTCTCCACCTGGAGTTACCTCAGGAACCACATGAACTTCCACATCCTTCTTGGGGATTGACCTACCTCTCAAGGTCTTCCCTGGGGACACCTTGGAGGGTGCAGGTCTCCTGGGGATGCGAAAACCAGTTTCCTAAGTTCTAGCAGATGGAACCCTAAAAATTGGGCTCCAAGTTGTCTTAGGTCTTAGGTCATTCAGTTGTCTGTCTCAGGATTGAAATTACTTTAATGTGATCATGCTCTTCTTAAGCCAGTTGTCCCCAGATGCCCTTCGAGTGGAACCCCGGTGGCTGCCCCAGCCAACGAGGCCCCACACACTCTCACCTCTGCCCGCTTCTCCCTCCACTCTGCCTGCCCCTTGCGGCGCCCTGGCTCGTTGGCCTCCCTGGGGACCCTGAGCTGGCCGCGGCCCTTCCCTCCTCATGGCCTTGGCACTTTCCTTGTCCTCTACCCGGAATGAACCTTTCCAAGTCTTCCTGAGGCGTGGCCAACTCGTGCTCTTACCTCAGGCCATCTCAAGTGCCACCCCCTTCTGAGAGGCCGTCCCTCCTCACAGCTCCATGCCCACAGCCGCCCGCCCCACCCATTCTCCGGCTCGCGCTTGTCCAGAGCACTTCCAGCTACATGAAGTGATCTCCCTTCTAGTTTCCTATTTATGATCTGTCTCCCTGCCCTGGGGTGTAAGTTCCGCATCTAATCTCCTTCACCGCCAGTGTAGCACCTGGGTGGGTGCCGCGTCCATACTGATTAGTCAATGAGCTGTAGCTGCAGCTCGCCGTGTAGCAGCGCGGGAGGCCCGGGGCTGGGTGGCGCTGCCTCGCTGTCCATCTGAGGGGCTGTCTGTGCAGCGTGTGCCCGGCAGGGCCTGAGCACGTGCCAGCAGGCCTCCCCCTGCTTTCAGTTCTCACGGATGGCCAGGCACAGTAAGGAGGAAGGCTTGTCGATCGTTAGGAGGAGGGCGCGGTCATGTCCACTCCCGCAGGAGCGTGCTTCTCCCTTCCTGTCCTCCCTCCCTCGGCCCTCCCTCGGCCCTCCCTCTCTCCCCACAAAATGTAAAATTTATCACTTTAACTATTTTAAAGTTTACAATTCAGTGGCATTTAGTACATTCCCAATGTTGTGCAACTACCATCACCATCTAATTCCAGAACATTCTCAGTGCCCCAAAAGGAGACCCCATGCACATGAAGCAATCATTTCCTATTTCCCCTCTCCCTAGCCCCTGGCAATCACTGATCTCCTTTCTGTCTCCAAGGACTGATTTATTGTGGGCATTTTATAGAAATAGAATCGTATAATATGTGCCCTTTTGTGTTTGGCTTATTTCATTTCACATGAGGTTTTCGAAGTTCATCCATGCTGTAGCAAGTGTTGTGACACCATTCCTTTTTGTCGCTGAGTAATATTCCATTATGTGGATAAACCACATTTGTTGATCCATTCATTCGTGATAGTTGAGCTGTTTCCACCTTTTAATTATTGTGAATAGTGCTGCTGTTCACGTTCATGCACATGCTTTTGTTTGATCAGTTGTTTTCAATTATTTTAAGTATCTGCTCAAGAGTGGAATTGCTGAACCACATAACAGCTGTTTACCGTACTGAAATGCTGCCAGACTTTCCCACAGTGCTGCCCCGTTGTGCATGTCTACCAGCCATGCATGAAGGTTCCAGTGTCTCAACATGCCCCCCAATACTTATTTCCTTATTTTTAAAAGTTAACATACTATTACCTTGGCTGGTGGGGCTCAGTTGGTTGGAGCGTTGTCTCATAAACCGAAAGGTCGTAGGTTTGATTCCCCATCAGGGTGCATGCCTAGGTTGCATGTTCGGTCCCTGGGTGGGGTGCGTATGAGAGGAAACCAATCGATGTTTCTGTCACACATTGATGTTTTTCTCCCTCTCTCCCTCTCATCCCCTCTCTCTAAATCAATAAGCATGTGCTCAGGTGAGAATAAAATAAATATATATATATTAGAAAGATGGAAATAATGTGAAATATATATAAAAGTTGATAGCCATCCTAGTGTGAGGTGGTATCTCGCTGTGGCTTTGGCTTGAATTTCCCTGAAGGCTAATGATGTTAAGCATCTTTTCATGTGCTTGTTAGCTATTCTATATCTTATTTAGAGTATGTGTCTTTATCTTGAAGCTTAACATTCTTTGTATTGTAATTTAATGTGAACATTTTTTTCTCGGTCTTGACCATAATCTGTGTCATTTATAAAATGGGGTTAATATACTTTTCAGGTAAGAGATTGGTTTTTGGAAATTAAATCATTTCTCAAATTTCTGTTAATATAATTTTGAATTTTTTTTCTTGCTGCTCTCTCACTCTATGTCAAAATTCAGCATGTCAACTTTAGCCTTATTTTCTTAATTGGCAAATTTAATTCAGTATTAATTTTGTGAATTTTAACCTCTCTCAATCTAACCCATCATTAACTCCTATGAATTTTTAGGTTTTAAACATATTTTAAAGTCGTTCTGTTTCTTAGCTAATATAGTATCTAACAGAGTATTTGGCATTCTGCTGTTTCAGAGTAAGCAGGTGGCTGTTGAAAGTAGTTTTCATTACAACCTTTTTTTTCCTTTTCAGAAAAAATTGCCTTTAACAACACTGGCTCAGTGTTTGATGGAGGGGTCAGCTATCCTGGGAGATGACACACTTCTTGGGTAAGGTGACACCGTGTGTGGGTTTGGCAAATCTGGGTAAGTCCCCATCCATAAAAAAGGGACCAGAACTTCCTGGCGAAGCACTGTGGACACTTTTAGCCTTGCTGCAGACTTCGTGGGGGAAGAAAAGATTGCCTATGAGAAATCAAAATCCCCAGGCCCTGAAGTCATGTTTATTGTCTATGCAGTGAGGCAACTCCCAAGTGGAGAAATTAACATTAAATTGTTGAAGGACAATTAAAATCCCTAGGGCTCCAGTCAAAGCAAATATGAATCCTTCCAATGTCAGATGTCAGCACTTACAGGATTCCCAGAAGAACAACCCTTGCTGGTTTTGAACTCATAATAAAAACAAACTAAAAATAGAATTGACACGAGGGAGAATCCTCACGCACAATGAGTAAGAGAATCAGTATCTTCAGAACTAAAAATAATAGAACAGTATGAAGGAAAATGTAAAATAATTAGGTTGATTATTTTACATTTTAAAATTAAATAAGGATGTCTCTTGCTTTGGCAGCACATATACTAACATTGGAACGATACAGAGAAGGTTAGCACAGCCACTGCACAGGATGAATTTGTGAAACAGCCCCATTATGTTTAAGAAAAAAAAATTTGTAACTATATATGGTGACAAATGTTAACTAGACTATTGTGATGATCATTTTGCAATATGTCAAATATTGAATCATTGTGTTGTACACCTGAAATTAATATAATGCTATATGTTGATTGTGCATCAATTTAAAAATTAAGGACAAAATAACCATTGACAAATAATCAAACAATATGAAAAAAAAGATTAGGCAGAATCAAAGAAAAAAACAAAAGAACTTCTTAAAATTCAAATTATACTTACTATAATTTAAAAACTTAATTGAGATAAACTGAAAATTGCACTCAAATAAAGAATTGGTAAACTTTAAAACAAATCTGAAGTCACCACTTAGAATAAACAGAATGAAGTACAAGAAATAAGGATATTGGCATTATTAAGTGGAGACGCATGGTTGGTAGAATACAAAGCTATGTCTAGTAGTACCCGAAGAAGATAATATGGAGAAGGAAAGTTTGTGGTTGAATTTTTCTTTTAGATTTTAGATTTTCTGTAGATTTTAGATTTGAAGAAAGACATAGTCTTTAAATTTAAGAAACACAAAAAGTCCTGATTAATATCAACACAAGGAAATCTACTCTTGGGCGCATTGCAGTAAAACTGGAAATTATTTACCAAAAGGAAAAAAAATGTAAGCAGATAAAAAGGTAATTGTATATAAAAGAGCCATTACAGTGATAACAGACTCTTTATTCATCAGCCAAAAATAAATGCCAGGATATAATGGAGGAAAAATCTTCAAGTATTGAGCAAAAATATAAGAATACAGAATTATATGGTAAACTACATTATTATTCAAGAATAAAGAGACAATAACAACATTTTTAGGCAAAGCTTTAGAGAATTTACTACTCATATATTCTCACTGAAAAAAAAAGTTAGGTTTATGTGAAATAGATTATATCCAGAAGAAAAGAATGAAATGCAAGTAGCAAGATAGCTTTTTTAAAAAAATAGTGAATGTGGTGTAGGAATGAAAAAAATTCTTTTTTTAATCTATTCATTTTAGGTTCCTTTACTGTGGCTCTGCAAATTAAATTTGCAAAGGACAAATTAACAAGAGAAAAGCATGCAAATTTATTACCATGTGCAGTGTGTATGCAGAGGAGAACTTAGTCATTAGTAACTCAAAGGTGTAGCTGGAACTTTGGCTTATGTAGCATCTTAACAAAAGAACAATAGTTTTTAGAGAAACTGTTTTCCTATGGCAAGACACAGGAAAAGCCATCTGGGTTTCTAGGATGACATGCTATGGGAAGGCAAATGTATAGGGAAACTAATGGAAGATCATTAGTAAGGTTTGTTATTTCTTTGGTGCTTCTCTAGGCTGAGAAGAGTCTAGAGTTGTTTCTGGAGATTAATTTTTGTCCTTGCTGAAAGAAAGGAGAAGCAGCACATTTTTACAAATTTATGTTCTTGTTTTAGGCAAGTGGAGGGGAGATGGTGCAGAGAGCTTATTTTGTATCTGCTTCTGCTCAGTTGCCTTAAGCTCAAAATAATTCGTATGTCATTGTGGCATATTTTGAATTGGCATATTCTGCTACCCTTCAGTGTAAATAAATATAAATAAGCATTGAATTAACAGTAGCAATATAATGATTTATTTGGTGGGAATTTAAAGCAAAGTGGTACTAAAATACTAGAAAATAATAACATGAAACATTGGAAAAGGGGAATTAGTGTTTCATGTTCTATATTGTTTGAAAAGTGGATAAAGGTTACATTTAAAACAGATGCACATCTTAGAAAAGTAAGAGTAACGACAAGAAGAATGGATATAGAATGTAAAACTTCAAAACTAGTAAAATGATAAAAAGTGAAATAAAATAGAAAAAAACAGAAGGAATTAAAAGAAAAACATAAGCAAAGAAAAGCATAATAAATAGGAAGCAGAAAATGAAGGTAATAGTTATTACTGCCTCTATCTGTAATCATTAGACATGTAAGTGGAATAAACTCAGCTGTTTATAATACAGAGAATCTCAGGTGGGTAGGCATGAAATCGTTCTATGCTATTTCTAAGAGTCACACCTAAATCATGACCCAGGAAGGCTGAGAATAAAGGTATGGAGGATACCCAGGTAGAGATGACGGGCTGAACACACACATCCAGTTTTGTTCCCTTCCAAATCCACTACAACAAAGAGATTTTTTTTTCTTAAAAGACATAATCCCAAAAAATGCAGGAAAAACAAGAGAAAAGACAACAGCAACAAAATTTTGTGAGTGATAAAACATACGATTGATTGGGAACTGGCTTAGTGAGTTCCCAAAACCTGAATCTCAAGAGCCAACGCCATTTATTCCTTGAAATGCTTCCAGGGCTCAGGACTGGTGGCACCAGGCATCTCTGCAGTAGTGGGTCTTCGGGGACAGGGAAATGATTGAAGTTATGAAAGTAGGTTGAAAGCTAGTCAGGTACCACGTGGATTGCTCAAAACCAGCACCTGCTTCACCTCTGGGAGACTCATCCACTAACCCTTAATTCCAGCTGAATTCCGGAGCTTTATTCTCTGGGGGGTGGAGGGTAAAACAGCTTCTCTAGTCTGGGGACACCAGGTAAGGGGACCAGCTATTAAAGAAGAGACTTCTGTAATCTAACGCAGCTGGATGCTGGGACTCTTCAGCTGTCTCACCAAGCCCAGCAGGAGTGAACTAAAGACCCTAAGACATTGAAGGGGGCAGTGCTCCAGCGAATGGCCCAGCAGATCATCTGCCGATGAGGTCACAGCTGATGAGCTTCACTCACATTTTCCCAGCTGCTTAGTCCCCACCGTTAGATATAGACAGGCACCAGAGAGCACCAGGCATCTGAAACCTAGATATCAAAACAATGGGGAAAATAATACAAAAGTAAAATCTAAAAAGTAAAAGAAGAAATAGATAGTGCATGGGGGAGGAGAAGATTTTAGGAAAACTATCACTTGTATTTTCAAGTGAGAAGAAACCATGATGCATCTATTAAAAATGGGATATTAATAAAATATATATAGGCAAAAGCATTCAGAGATCAAAAGCAAGCCTGTAGAAATGAAAAACATGACATTCTCAGTAGGTTGGGAAAATAAAGCTGAAGAAACCTAGAAAAGAGCAAGAAGATGACCACAGGAGCTCTGAAGGAAGCAGAGAAATAATAATAATAATAATATCTGAAAGTGTTCCAGAATTGAAGGACATGCATTTCTTTATGTAAGGGCCCACTGGGCTCCTAACACAGTAGAAAAAAATTATACCTGTGCCAGGGCTCACCAGTAGTGTATACTAGTGACAAATAAAAGATTCTGTAATCTTGTGGAGAAAAGAAATTGTCACACAAGAGGATCAAAAATCAGAACGCTTCCAGACTTGCCAAAAGCCACAGTGGAAAATAGGTGATTACTGAGCAATGATGTCAACCTTCTGAAGGGATAGGTGCTCTGCATAGAGCTCACTATCCTACCTAGCTGTTGAGCATTGCGAGGGTACAGGGCAATGTTGTGACATGTATGTTCTCAGAAACTGATGCCCCACCCGATTTTTCAGGCAGCCGAAGCCAGATGTGTGCTCTGTGATGTGGGAGTAACCAGGAAAGGGAGCCAGAGACTGTAGGAAACAAGACATTCAGCACAGGACAGAGAGGTCATGCCAGGAAGTGGTGAGGGAAGACAGCAGGAAGGCAGCTCTGCTCAGGGGTGGAAGGCATACTCAGGCTACATTGATAGAGGTTTGGGAGAGACTCATTCAACAAGATGATGAAATTCATTCATGCCAATGTAGTTCAGGGTCTTAAGACAAATTAGAAAAGTGGCAGAGGATTTTGGGTTCAGTTGGGTCCATAGAAAATTGAACAAACAAATCAAGACAAGGCAATTATGAACTCCAGAGAGGACAAATAAATGTGTAGGAAAGACCACTAATCGTAATACACTACCCAGCCTTATTCTGAATAACATATCTAATCAAAATGTGTAAATTCTAAACATCTGCTGATGTGAATAAATGGAGGGAGGGGAAATGTAAAGATAATTAAATCCTCATTTTCTATAGTTGACAGTTAATAACTAATGCTTGAAATTAGAAAAAAATTAAGAAGTAACATTAGAAATATGGAGGCAAGTAGCAGAAAAGTCAGATTAAAAACACCATTTAAAAGCTACGAAGATAAACCCGCAGCCTGGGAGTTGACATTTACAGCAGATTATGAAAAAATTCCAATCCCCTCTACACCCACATACATTTATCTGTAAGTATGTGAAGAACTCCTACAAATAAATTCAAATAACTAATCCTGATACAAAAATAGCCAAAGAATATGAATAGGCACTTGGTGGAAGAGGGATCCTGAATGACCCAAAACATGAAGAGATACTCAGTCTCGCCAGTAGTCCAGGAGTGCAAGTGAAAACCAGGATGAGATAATATTTGGTATCCATCAAGCTGGTAGAAATGGACATTTCCACCGGTACCGGGGGTGGGCAGGAGGGCAAAGCAGTGGGAACTCTGGTTTGCACTGGTGAGAGTGAAGTCCGTGTTACCAGCTTTGAGAGCAGTTTGGCAGCCTCTAGTAAGGTTACGGGTATGCACATCTTCTCTCCTTTTGCACTAAAAAACTCACATGTGCAACAAGAGACTTACACAAGCTTATGTGCCGCGGCCCTGCACGTAGCAGCCACAGATTGTTGACTGGGGAAGGCTAACAAATGGTGGTATATCCACGGAATGGAATTCTGGACAGCAAAACCATCTAGTTCTGTATGTAATGTGATGGATAAGCCCCAAAGATAATGATGAATTTAAAAAGCAAGTAACAGAAGGATAGGTTCAGTGTGAAACCATTATGTAACCTCTTTAACTAAATGATGCAACATTATATATTGTATGTGAACATACATACATTTAGTAAGAAGTGTACAGTTAGGGTAAGAAAGGTACATACTAACTTTTGAATGACAATGGCCTCTTCTCACACTTTTATTGATTTGTAAAAACTTTTTACATGAGTTTCAGTTAATGTGGCCCCGTGAAAAGGGAGGAACTACCTGTATGCTGTTCAGGGGAAAGTAACGTCTTTGAAATATATTCTGTCATCTGGGAATATGGTATAACTTTCTACTCATTCAGGTCTCTTTTTATTTGGTTCTTATTCATAAACTTTGGAATGGTTTTTCCATTCCAACTTTGCATTGGATAATTGGCTGTTCATCCTGTTTTCCTGGCTTAGGAAAGGTTTAGGGTTTGTTTGTTTGTTTGTTTTTTTCTATTAGAGCCTAATAGGAAAAAAAGATTGAGTGCTTGGTCTGTGTTTGAAGGTGTTGGTTCGCCCGTGCCCTGACTTTAGCTAGTTTCTCCAGGACCCTCAGGGGAGACAGAAGCACCTGGGGACTCGGCACATGTGAGCCTGTTCTCTGCACATCTCTCTCATGTCTCCCTCCATGTCCCCTGTACGCCAGGCACAGCGTAGATGCTCCGCATCATTTAGAACATTGATAACTTCAGAAATGAAAATGGAGGGAGTAACTTGGTCCTCGGGACACCATGGCACACAACCACATCTTTAGCACCGTCTCATGACAGTGTACCCCAGCTGGGAGGTGACGTGGTAGATGCAGGAGGCCCCTTGCCCCCAGGGTATGCAGTGTGGATTTTTCCCTCTGTCGCAGGAAGATGCTGAAACTCTGTGGGGAGGCAGAGGACAAGCTGGCGCAGGAGCTGATCCATTTTGAGTTGCAAGTGGAGAGAGATGTGATCGAGCCCTTGTTTTTGCTGGCGGAGGTAAGCAGTGGATGAGGCCAGGCCTGAGTGAGCAGGGAAGGGCGGGGCAGGGGGCCTGCAGTCGCTGCGCTCCCTCTGGTTATCGCGACTGTCCCTCCCCTGCTCTGTGACGCTGCTTCTCAGTGGGGTTCTTACGGCCCAGACCCCCGGTCAGCATTGCCCAGCGCGGCAGCCCTTCCAGTGTTCGCTGCCCCTCCCACACGCTTTTCTCTCTGTTGGCCTCCGGGAGAAGGGGCAGAGCCGGCAGCACCCCCACCCCCCGCCCACCCTGGCCCCGGCAACCAGGAAGGCCACTGCCACCACCCCTGCCCTCCACCCATCTCAAGTCCGCACTGAAACGAGCAGCAGCCGCTTCTCCCAGAGGACTGGGGGCCTGTTTCTGAGAGACTGAAAGGCCTCTTGCCGTTGGTGTATATAGGTCCCTTTGGTTGGAGTTTAAAGAAAACTAACAAAACTGTTTTATTAAAAGGAAACCTTAATGTCTATGTATCAGTTTTGCTAGCTTCAAACAAGTAAAAAAGGAAATGGTTGGGGGATTTTATTTGCCCTGACCCCGGGACCTCCTCCCAGGTGCCTTTAATTGGTCATAGAAAACCCAGCGGGCGCTGTCCCACAGAACCGCCTGCAGCAATGCAGAGGCTCCGTGTCTGCGCAATTCGACCTCCACACAGTTCGACGTCTGCACAGCTCCACACCTGCACAGTTCCACATCTGCACATCTGCACATCTACACAGTTCCACACCTCCATAGCTCCACATCTAAACAGTTGCACGTGTCCACATCTACGTAGTTCCGATCTGCACAGCTCCACAGCTGCATAGCTCCACATCCACACAGTTCCATATCCGCATAGCTCCACGTCTGCACAGTTCCACAGCTCCACATCCGCACATCTGTCCAGTTCCACAGCCCCACAGCGGCACAGCTCCACATCTGGACAGTGTGGTCGCCACTAGCCTCCTGTGGCTATTGAGCTCTTGGAATGTGTTTAATGTGACTGAGGAACTCAATTTTATGTAGTTTTTGTTCATTTGAATTTAAGTGGCATAGCCGCACGTGGCTCGAGGCTACCGTGTTGGACAGCACGCCCCGGACCATGTCGGGTTTCCTCCCTAGACCACCCTCGCAGCGCTACCTGCCCTGCCACTGCTTCTGGGACAGAACGCAGGGTGAATAACTGCCCAAGAAGACTGAAGGTGAAAATCCTGGATTCGAGGCCTTGACACAGACCAGCTGCAGACCCTCAGGGGGTGTCCTGTCACGGCCGTGCCCCGCCTAGGCCATCTATGAGAGGCCCTCTGGTCGTCGTAGAGGTGGCCTGGCCTGCCAGCCACCCAGAGCGAATCCCAAGGGCAGTTGTGACCTGGAGCCTGAGGCTGTTGTACAACCACATGCGCTGTGACTCCCCAGCTTTGCCTCTGGGTGCTGGGGCGACAGGGGGGCCCCGGACACTTACTCTTCTCTCCCCATTGGAAGGCCCTACACTCACCATTACTCGCTCGCCTAGAGGAGCGAATAGAAAGCACCCACAGAACACTGGGTCTTCCTCACATTTTTCCATCTATAAAAGCCACAGCCTGAGATGACTGGTTTAATTATGGTCAATTTTCCTTTTTAAATTCTCACATCCTGCCCCAATTTTGCTGGGCTTGGAACCAAAATCCCTCACTTAGAATGTTCAGTTGAGCCATTTTTAGAAATAAAAAGATAAAAAGAGCATCCACATACAACCCCTGTGGAAGAACTTCTTATAGCCGAGAAAAGCCATGGGGATGTGTATTTATTATTTACTTTGGAGAAAATCTTATTTCTATAAAAACATCCCTAATTGCATTGCCCACAGCATCTCGGGCCTCCCGAGACCTGTTCTCATCATCCTTCTGCCGTCTGTTTTGAATTAGGTCTGTGTGTCAGATCTGCTCCCTCCCCCGCCGGCCCGCAGCCAGCAGAGAGGAGCTGTGCGGCCCTGTGCAAAACGCTGGGGCGGCCACAGATGGGAGGCTGAGCTTCGCGAGCAGGGGGTGCAGCGGCTCCGGGTGATGTCCAGCGGAGAAAGGGCAGAGTTTAGCTCAGGGAAAGGTCCCAAGGATTTGAATGAAAAAATAAGGATTGTTGTGGAACTGTCATTAGTTCTTGAAGATTTTATCTTGAGCTTCAGTTTGACTGTGTCTTTCATCTGTCACTCCAGGTGGAAATCCCAAATATTCAAAAACAGAGGAAACACTTAGCAAAGTTGGTGCTGGACATGGATTCTTCACGAACAAGGTACCCCCATAGGGCATCTTTGCTTTCATTTCTGCTTCTTTGTGAAGGAACAGCAATCACATTCGGGGTGAGGGTAGGAGTCTGTGTGTGGCTATTCGTATGTTTATATTCACCAAGTTCTTCTCCACACCCCTGCGTGTTAGGCCCTGGAGGCAGGAGCAGGGAGCAGAGACACAGGTCCCCCACTCCCATGGAGGCTCTGGCCCAGTTCAGGAGTAGACGACAGTGAACACTCACACCAGACAATTTCATGCAGCTGGGAGTCGTATAAAGAAAGAGCACAGGGTAATACTGGAAGGGGATGTTGGAGAGGGGGCAACAGCATTAGGTGGGGTTGAGATGACTCAATGGGAACAGCAAGGGCCCTGAGATGGAATTAGAGCGATGCGTGCAGGGTGCAGGAGAGGGGCCAGCGTGGCTGGGGTGCAAGGGAAAGGGGGGTAGTGGGAGCAGCGCCCACCGTGGTCGGGTAGGTGGCGTGTCCTGTCTGTAGTGAGGGGAGAGTTTCAGATTCGGGGGACCAGTTCACCTTCTCCTGAAGTTGACGGTGCAGAGAGGTCAATTCTGTAGCCATTCTCTAAACGTGCGGGGCCGCTATGAGAAAGGTGGAGTACCGCCGGGGCGGCTTCCCTGCACCTGTCTCCTCCAATGCACCAGGGAGGTCCTGCGGCAGCCGGGGGGGCACCAAAGGCTTTGAGATGGCATTCGCTGCGGCTGGCACGCGTTACGGCTGCGCACGTGCCTTTTCATTTTTTATAATGGTGTGTGTGCGTTTGCATAGTCTGCAATGGAAAGAATACAGGGTCGTGAATATTAATATGGAATTAACTATTGGGCTCTACTTTAGGTCCATTGCAGGTCAATGTTAATAATCTGCATCTTGTTTCAATTTTCTTGAGAAGAAGAAACAAAAAGAAAATACTTGGGCTGAGAGATACAGGACAGAGTCATCAACTAGGAGTCAGAAATGAAGTACCAAGACCAAGGTCACCTGTTCTCTTGACCTGTGACCTTGGCCAAGTCCCTTAACCTCCCAAATGAGCTTGCATACCTGTAGACAGGTAGTAACAACATTTGTGGGTTCCCCTGGGGAGCTTGTCTTGAGTGTCAAATGAGATCATGTTTACCACAGTACTTCCCAAGTGCTTTACAGAAGGAAGCTGCTATGTAACTGGGTGGGACATTGGAATTCGGCCTCTGGACCAATAAAAAGTATTAGGCAGTCCGGCCAAACCAGAAATAATATAGGTTTGATTAGCAGAAAAACGAAAGTTTCTTTAGATAACTTCATGTTTCCCAAACATCAGTCCACCTGAATGGTTTTTGCCACCTGTGCTTGAAGAGTTGATTTTCTTTTTCAAAATGAATCAAACAAAGTGATATTACAGCACTATCGTAAATGGATCAGCAGTGCCCTTTGCTACAAATACCAGGTAAACATGAAAGCGAACAGGATGAGAACAAAGCCAGTGTTGTTAAACTTCAGATCCTGTTGCCTATGGAACACTGCGATCCAGGAGCTTGTCCCTTTGTTACAAAGGAAGAGGAGGAGCTGGACCATTGCTATTGTGGTTCTGACCCAGATCTGAGGGTCTCTCCTGAGCGGACTTGGGAGAGTGGAGAGCGGATCGCATGGCAGTATTGTCTTGGCGTTCCATGTCATCGCGTTCTTGTGCCACATAAAATTGCCTGCCATAACGCTTGTCCCGTAACGTAATGGTTTAAGTAATGGGACAGGGTTTAAGTCCCATATTTTGGGAGACACTAAGATGACCGAAGAAGTGCTGACTGTCCCACTGTTCGGAGGGTAGTGGACGCCATGCACCAGGGTTAGCGGCGTGCTCTCCTTCTGTGGGGGCCTGGGTTTAGCCCTGAGGTCTCGCCTTGCTTTGAGGAGGAAGACCCGATGTCCAGCACAGAGCTTCTAGTCAGAGGGCTGGCCTCTAGCTTCAAAGCTTATCGTCGCCATCGCCACTTAGGTATTTTTGTTTGGTCATCTGGTGAGAAAGAGTCACTCCTGGCGACAGCTACGGGCAGTCCCGTCTTGGGCTGTGTTGTTCATGGTGACAGCAAGTGCTTTGTGGAGGCTGAGCCTTAGAGAAGTGTCCTTAGGGACTCTCATCCATGATTTAACAGCTTTTTCATGTTTTCAGCTCATCCTCTCTTGTGTATTACAATGTGGTAAGGAAATCTCTACCTCCCCTCTCTAAATTTCTGTGTTTATAGACTTCAATTCGGACCAACAATTCTTTTTCATTTCACAACAAAAAAAACACATCCTTTTAGGTGATTCACGTATAAACCTGATTCGTTGCCTGTATCCTATCAGTGGTTTTCCACAGCCCACTTGTGCAGTTGTGAGTCTAGGGGTGGAGGGTTGCTTTGGACAGAGATTATTGGCAGTTCAGCCCCTCGAAAACTTAGTTACTTTCCCTCTGGGTCTTTGCTTTAGTAACTGTGGTGGGGATCCAACCCTCGGCCTCAATTACGGATTTTCCATCAGTTCACGTTATAGGCTTCAAAATGAGAGGGGCCCTGTTAGCAAAGGGGTCCTCTTTCTTCCCACTTCAACCTCGGACTCACCGTTGCTAGCCTGAGTTAATGAGCCCTGTGGGACCGCCCCGAAAGCCACGAGCAGCAGCCAACTCGCCCGACTCCCTGCTCTTCACCCAGCCCTTCGCTCATGGGCAGCGTGGGGCCTGCATCCTGACGTGCAGCCCTGGGAGCAAGGCCAGCACAGGGCCCTTGAACGGCGGGGATCACTGGCCGCTGTTCGGGACCAGCTGGGCTCTCACTGCCCCTCCCACCCCACACCACCTCCCCACTTAGCTGGGTTGCACAGGTTGATCCTATTCCTGCGCCACCCGCTTCGGGTGACCAAAGCCCCCTTGAGCCCTGTGCTGCCCTTCATGGACTGTGCTTTCCAGACTCTACGGTGTGTTCCAGGGAGAGGCGCAGTCTGCCTTTGAAGAAAGGCAGGGTCTTTCTGTATATTAGGTCCTCTTGATCGATAGTCCTGTGACTGGGTCTTTGAAATCTAGCACAGCTCTGGTGGATACTGCCAAATCCAACAAATTCATCCAGTGTTTTAATTAGGTCAAAATCCAGTGTGTACGTTTGTCACTATTCAAGCAAATCTGGCCTCTCTGCTTCAAAAGCCAATTACATAACCCTTAATATTCTCAGATAATACTGAAGCTTAGAAGATGAATAAAAGATAACAAATGAGGAGAAGGGAGGTAAACTCAAGCTTCTCACTGAGTCAAAAAGAGTGAATTGCATTGAAGTGAAACAAATGTGAATGATACGCAAGCGTCTTCCCTGCTGTCGGTTTGGTTTGGCAATGATTAAGGAAGGAGCCCCGATTCTCCCCAAGGTCGGCCTCACTGTTTGAGGGACATGGATCTCAAGGTGAACCCCCTGGGTCCAGGACGCTTTGTGTTCCTGCTGCATAGCTGCCTCTGGGTCCTACTGCTGGGGACCAGATTGTGTTTCTTCCCCACCAAAAATCCCTATGTTGATCCCTAATTGCCAGTCTGTCGATATTTGGAGACAGGGCCTTTAGGCAATAATTAACACTAAATTGGATCCTATAGGAAAAGGTGGTCTGAGAAAAAAAGGGAGAGAAGAGACAGAGCCCTCCCCTTGTGCCTGTGCGCACGCAGAGCAGAGGCCCTGGGAGGGCAGGCTGCTGCGGGCCAGGCAGAGAGCCTGCACCGGAACCCGGACCTGCTGCGACCTTGACCTGGGACTTGTAGCCTCCATAACTGTGAGGAAATAAATGTCCGTTGTTTACGCCCCCTAGCCCGTGGTGTGTTGTAATGTCAACCCCAGCAGACTAAGCCCCCTACCTTCTTTGGGGGCCAGTGGACTAATACAAGTAAAAGGGGGGGCGGGGACTGGGAGCAGCTCCCGGCTTTAATTCCGTGGCCGTGGCCGCTGTGAGCACCCCTGGCCTGGCAGCAGAGCCTCAGCGCCGCCAGGGGCACCCCCGCCCCTGCTCCCCTCCACGCACGGCCAGCCTTCCCGCAGGTCCGTTGCCTTCATGGTCGCTGGATGACCCTTCGGCTCAGGTCTCCCCAGCATGAGCCCTGTCTTTTTGCTTCAGTTCTGAATGTGCTTGTCTGGATGTTGGTGATGAGCCACTTCCTTGGCCTGACGGTTGGCCAAGGTGGTGAAGGGCGGGCATGGGCCTGGCTGGCCTCCGGCACCGTCTCCGAGACCCAGACTATGGAGCCTTGCGGACGGCAGAGCCCTTGGCCGATCCCTGAGAGCAGCAGAGGGGCAGGGCCTCGGAAAGCGGGGGATCCCGTGACAGAGGGAGGAAGTCTGGACAGACTGGACAATGAATGTCCCTCTAAAGAAATGTTCCTATTTGCCTTCCAAAAATTCCTCTTCTGGACTTCTTGTTACCCTGAACTTACCTTGCGGCTGCCTTCTTCCCCCTTCTCCTCGTCCTTGAAACGTCATCCCCTTATTTCTGGCCACTGTTGCTCCTCGGCCTTCCTCAAAGCTTGCATCGCCACCTTCCTCTCCTCCACCTCACGTAGTGACAGCGCCCTGCCCGGAGGCCGGTGCTGTCACAACAGCTGGCTCAGCGGGAATAAGTGAGCTTTCTACTCTTCAAGCTCTAAAGCTCAAACTCTTCTTGGACAGGCACCCCTGTTTCTTCTCTTCACAGAGCAGGACAGTTCTTAGGTTTATTTGTAGAACACTGACTGAAAAGACCACCAGCCCTGGAAGTTCATGATTAACATCACTTTCCTGGCAGATACTGCCTATGCACATTTTTCCAATCTCCCCCTGATATTTTCGTTATGCTATGTCCACAAAGGGACAATTTTGGTGCATCTTATCTTATAATTTTATAATATCAAAACAGATTACTTATATATTGTAAATAAAATTCCCCATGAAGGGAGGGGAAAGTCGTATGATTTTAAACTATGAGGATATCCACTAAAGGAAAGAATTTGTGTGAGGGGGATAAACAAAAAAAGAAAGACATAACTTGGGAAAATGTCTTCATTTTATATACATATATTAAATATAATTTGATTTTTTAAAAAATCTAATCCAAATCTGTATAACCACAAAAATCAGATTAGCGTGTACGGTCACTTGACTTATTTCTTACACTTACATATTAGGTTAGTTGTTTCTCCCTTCAGGTTGCATGAGTCAGGTGGCAGCTGTAGCTTGGTCACGCAGTCTGTCATGGAGGTGTATTTATTATCTGAGATTTAAATTACAGCAACAGCATCTCATATTTTATTAGACAAAAAAAAAAAGAAAAAGAAAAACCCACACCGCAGCACTTTAATACTTTATTTTAAATGGTTAAACCTGGGAGGTATTAAAGAAATGTAACATTTTTGTAAGGCAAACCATTATAAGAAAAAGTTGCCCAGGAATTTTTGCTAATTCTTGCCTATTAGCTTAGACGTTTAAATATCTTTGAGGAGAATATTTTTGTTCTAATTTTCCTTGAATTCTTTTTTTTTTAAACATTTTTTATTGATTTTAGCTCTGGCTGGTGTGGCTCAGTGGATTGAGTGCCGGACTGCAAACCGAAGGGTCGCCGGTTCCATTCCCAGTCAGGGCACATGCCTGGGTTGCTGGCCAGGTCCCCAGTAGGGGGTGCTTGAGAGGCAACCACACATAGATGTTTCTCTCTTCTTTCTTGCTCTCTAAAAATAAATAAAGAAAATCTTTAAAAATAAAAAAAAAATTTTTTTATTGATTTTAGAGAGAATGAGGAAGGTGGGTGGGGGGTGGGGGGAACAGAGAGACATCGATTTGTTGCCCTAACTGGGGATCAAACCTGCAACCTCGATTTATCAGGATGACACTAACCAACAGAGCCACCTGGCCAGGGCCACTTTTCTGAGGATGTGCGGTGTGTCTGTCTAGAGTTTCAGCCCAGCTTAATGTTCCAAAGCCTTTTGAAGTAATTTTCTCATGAGTACATTTTTAAGTGACAAATAACACTTTATTTTGCTACTTTTCGCTAATTGCAAAGATAACTTTAGTTTCCCTTTCTTGTATCATAATCTTTCACTCTTTGTCCTACTTTTAACAAAAAAGAAAAAAATGTATGGAGAAAACACCTAGTGATCAGATTCTTGACTCTCAAAGACTGGGTAACGCTGCACTGTTTTCTTCTTCTTTGGATGGAGCCTGAGGAACTGTGTGGTTTACTCTGTACACTGTTGACCAGCATGGGTTTAAAAACTATTTAATCTGTTGCCACCTTCCACCAGGAGAATTTCCATGGCAGTTTCCAGCTTCCCCTGTCAATGGAAACATCTGGCAACCCACGGGCGACCCAGCCTCTGCCTGAGCCTTACCGGCCTGTGAGGAGCAGCTGCCTCCTAGACCCCGCAGCAGCCCTGCCCCAGTCCCTGTCCCCAGTGTCCTTCCTGCCCTCCTGAGGCTGCAGCCAGGCGTCAGCTGCCCTTGCTGTCCTTATTATACTGGTGTTCTTCTCAAAGCTAGAAATAGATACATATCTCATGTCCCTGTTACAAGTAGAAAATAAAGGACCGAATGGACTGGTTTTTGAGACAGTGAACGCTTTGGCTTATTCTTCCTGCTCGTGGACCTCTATATGCCGCCGTTGCGTTTGCAGGCGCAGTGGGAGAGAGCCCGCTGCCGCTCCCTACTCCAGCGGCTCCCGCCTGCCTAGTTGCAGCCTCCCCAGGGCCTGCTTCCCCTGCGTCCCATGCAGGGCAACCTGAGATCCTTGTACTTCCCCCTAAGAGTTTCTGCAGTAGTTTCCTCAGATGGCCCATATTCTCTGCACAAAGATAAATGCTTAACAAAATATAAATGAGGTATCTAAGTGTTGCTAGGAATTTGTGTGTGTGCGCTTACCGGTGTTACAGAACAGAAAGAGTTCATCCACCCGGTGCTAGCGGAGCCAAACGCTAGACACTGAGAGCTGCAGGGGGGAGAGGCGGGCGATTTTATTATGAATGGCGCCACCCAGGAGAACGGGGAGCTAAAGCTCCAAAGCCGAAATTCCTCAGTGGTGTGCAGTTACAGGTTGTACGGGGAGAAAAATACCAGGCGCCCTGGGTCAGGGTTTCGGGGTCATGCTGGGAGCTGATTGGTCGGGCCTGAGAGAGAGAGAAAGAGGTGATTTCTAGAGCTAGGATTTAAAACTAAATTTAATTGAAGTCAGAAGGACCCTTGGTTTCACTGGTGGAGATTTTTGCCTTCAGACTTGTTTTTATCCTTACCAACGTATCCTTTCAGCTGGCATATGTTATTGGCTTCAGCCAAGTAGGTGAATGTTTCCAAACTCAAATGCCCGTGGGAGAGGCAGGAAATTTAATGGGACGACACAGACTGAGCTCCATTTGGCCGTAGTGGTCAGAAGACAGGAGGGAACATGGTGGCAACCTGGGGCTGGTGCCCTGCCGGAGGGGGCAGCTGATGGTCAGCATGGCATCCCCTGGGCAGTATTTGTCAGCAGCTATTCTCAGCCTTCCCACAGCATGCCCAGGGCTCTACCTGTCTCACACCTCTCCTCTTTTTCTCCTGTGTTCCATCAGGTGGCAGCAGACTTCCAAGTCTTCCGGTTTGTCCAGCAGCTTACAGCCTGCCGGTGCCAAAGCAGACGCCCTCAGGGAAGAAATGGAGGAGGCTGCCAACAGAGTGGAGATTTGCAGGGTACCCCTCTTTGCTCCTCTCTCCCGGGACAGACGGGGGGCCCTAAGGGCATCCTTTTTTTCACTTGAGTTCTATTGAAACCCTAAGAGTGAGCGTCTGCGTGGCGGACCCCCAGCTTGCCTGCCAGTGTCCCCTAAGAGCCAGGGACGGGTCCGCAGTGTTGGGGCTTTGAGGGGCAGCGGTGGTGATGGCGGTGTCCCTGCCTGGTAGGCAAAGAAGAAATGACCTCAGGGTCTGCTTGAGGCTTTTGTAAGCTGTGAGCCCCAACTCCTAGTTTCTAGGCCGCACAGGGCAGTTGAGAATTTAGCAATAAATGAGCCTTAACTCACGGGTGATATTAAGTTATCTTGTGTGCCTTTTAATATTTCCGAGCCACTGTATCAGTCCTTTGCTTGCTGGGAGACCCTTACCTACAAAGCTGAAATGCTAGCCAAGGAGATAGTCGCAGAGGAGCAACTCCCACCGGCTGAGAGGAGAGCCTCTGCCTAAGGAACGTGCCTCTGCATGTGGGGCTGACGGAGCCCCTCTGTTACACGTGGTCCAGTGTGTCCCATCCACTTTCCCCGCAAACGTTTACTGGACTGAATCAGCAATACCACTCATGCAATACCGTTAGCAATGCCATTCTGTGTATATGGGCATCTGCATATATGCAGACTTGTCAGGGTGGGTTTAAGTCCCTAGAACAACAGTCTCCTGTTTCTGGAGTTATACTGGGTACCTATTGTCTTTATCACAGTGTTGAAGGAGAGTGGCCACTTTGCATGCAGACATCTCTGTTCTTTGTGGCTCTATCTGGTCGTCTTCGCTTGTCCATCAGCTTATCTTTTGTGATGTCCCGTGCAGTTGATTTTGACCCTGCATTCAAGGGGCATTCACAGTCAGGTAGAGTTTTTCTTTTGGAATTAGAAATGTTGAAAAATATTTAAAGAATTCGTTACTTCTCAGCCTGCAGTACTGTGCAACCAACTAAAGTAAGACCAGTACTTCAGAACCAAGATCCATCATGAGTCAAGCTGACTTGTCATTTGAATGCCTGTGTAAATGGCAGTCCCCGAGCAGGTGCTGTTGGTGTAGTACGGCTCTTCTCTCGTGCTGATTCCACTTTTCCTCGGTGGACGCTTGACCCATTTACCGTAGATTCACGTTCTTCAGTTAAGAATCTTGTTTCTTACAAAATCACTTCTTCAGTAGACATGGGAGGGTGGTGTTAATAGGGGACCTTAATGTGCATGTCCAAATACATCAGAATAAAAGTTTAACAGCTTCATCTGTTCTTGTGTAGCTTCTTACATACATAGGCTCTTTTTACCAAAAACTATATCGAAGTCCTCTTCAAATATTACAAAAGTAATATGTATTTATCATAATCAGTGAAAAATATGAAAATATATCAAGAAAACACCAATAATTCTCCCCCTTCCTGCCCAGCAGCCAGCCCCTCTGTTTGCTAAGAAGGGTGCCCAGTTTTCCTTCTTCGCCAGCATTTGTTGAGATTTGTTGTGAACAGTGTACTTTGTCTCATGCCAAGTGGCCACAAGAGTTACAAGGATAAGGAACCCTGTGTTAGAAACATGTAACTTTCCACCCCTTTCCTCATAATCCTACAAACAATACACTTATGTATAGCACTTTCTGTTACTTGCTTTATGTACAGGTGTGTGTTTATATACTGTTATGTTGTTTATATTAATCTGCCACTTGCTTTTCTCAACTTACAGTACATCCTAGCTATCTCTCCCGATTGGTTGCTGTAGATTTAACTTAATCTTTTTAATAAGGTGCATCATATTCCATGGCGGGGATATATAAACACCCTGATTTATTTAGCTCTTTTCCTAGTGATGGACATTCAAAGCAGTGCGTTTGGGTTGTTTTGTTTTGTTTTGCGTTTGCCATCCAAACTGATGCGGTCAGCATCCTTCTATGTGCATTCTTATACATTAGTAATTTTTTCCCTTTAGGCCTGATTCCCAAAAGTGTATCTGTAGACCAGAGATCACGTATACATTTTCACAGGTATTGACAGTCTCCTTCCCTGCAAAGGGAGTTGTCACCCACATCCCCGGCAGCCGCAGGCAGGGCCGCCTGGTCCCCGGCTCTCTGCCTGGGATGAATGTCCTGGTCGGGGGGAAACTCTCTCTCTGTTATTAATAATTTTAATTTCTCTGAATATTAGTAGTGATGAGTATATCTTCACATACTTATTGGGCCTTCTTCATAGATTTGTAGGCATTTCCATTTGGGGAAATTGCCTATTTATGTTGGCAATTGGACCAGTATTTCTGTTGCTTTTTTGTTGTTGTTGTTGTTACTATCAATTTATCTAAGTTCTCTGGGTGTTAGGGATATTAAACTGTCTTCTATCTGCTGTATGACAGATACTTTTCCAGTCTTCCGTTTGTCTGTCGGCTTGGCTGATGTTGGTGTCTTCCATGAAAATCTCAACTGCACACATGTACTTCCTCCACGTGGGATAAGGTCCAGCTGGCCCACCAGGCATCTCCCACCATGTGCTTCTAACTTGTTCTTTCATTGTCTTTTAAGGTTCTTAAGTATTTTTACACTTGCTTAGTGCATTTTAGTACACCTGAAACTTACTTTCATACATGGTACCAATAGAATTTTGTTGGTCTTTTTTCCAGATGAGGAGCCAGTTATGCCAGCATCATTTATTAAATAAGCCAGCTACCCTGAAGCGAAATCCTATTGTCTGGGTCCTCAGACAATAAGGCGTTTCTGGGCTCTGGATTCCATCCGTCTGTCTGTTCCTGTGATAATGCTATGCAGCTTCAATCTAATGACTTGGTAGCAGCTGTAATACTCAGTGAGAAAACCCCCCTCGCTCTCCTCATGGCCTCGCCCGGTCCGTGACCTCGCTGCCATCACAGGGACCACGCAGTGGCTCTGGGCCGCTCTGTCCGGGTTCTGAGCTGATCCCCTCGAGAATGTGTGCTGATGTTGTAAAATTTCTCTTCTGACTCTTGTTTTATTTCTGCTTCACTGGTAGCCATCTGCTCCTAATATCCACTGTGGGCTCCCTCCCTCCTGTCTCTGGGTTTCCCTAAATGGGTCATTCCCCCTGACATCTCCATGGTTTTGCGTTTCCTCAGCAGGCGAGACAAAGCTTTCGCGTCTCTCGTATGGTGGTAATGCAGCAAAATGAAAGCCTGCGGGCCGCAGGTGAGCGAAGTGGCCGTCCGATTCCTCTGTTCGGGCCCAGGGAGGGCCACGCAGAGCTGCCGTGGTCTTTGGGACCCAGAGAGCTTTAGCCTACCAGGAAAACCAAGGCAGGGCGGGTTCCCTCAGACGGAGCCTGCTGGGACCTCCTGCGAACACGGTGCAACGTGCCCTGCCTGCGTCCCTGGGGGAGTCCCTTCCATCGCCGCCTTGCTTCCATATTTCAAAAAGAGACAAGCCCCACACTGCGCGATCCGTACCTGCTTTCTCTTTTCCTCCTGAGGTCCCTATAGCAACCCCTGAACGGTACATCAAAGCTGGCAATTTTTCAGTAAAAAGAGAGACAGTGAGGAGGGACCCATGGACAGAGAAATGACCATAGAGAAGATTGACTAGAAAACTCGCACACCGGACGGCTGCAGTGCCCATTCCGTTCGGTCCGGTTCTCATTCAAAGGGCGGTGCTGGCTGCCGTGCTCGGTGGGCGGTACCACCTCCCACCTCAGCCTTTCCTGCCTCTCCCTCCCCGTGGGATGTGTTGCCCCTCATTCCTGTTACCCCACCCACATTGCCATCTTTCCCACTAAGCCTCAGACTCTCTTTTTAAACTGGTGTCTCTTATTTCCATCTTATTCTTTGCCACGGTGTGATCTTTGTGCTTTGAAAATCAAGCTGCAGTTGGGGAAAGATGACACCTGGAAGACAGACGTCTAGCCCGTTTTGGCCTCCTCACAATCAGACTTATTAAATGAGCATTTATTGTCAGACCAAAAGACACATTGAGCCTTGACCCACAGCTCCTCTTATTAGAAAATTAGTGTTATGGTAAGTGAGCAAACGCGGTCTCTGCAGAACCCTCACCAGATCCCTGTGCTGGGAGGCTGTGGAAGGTCGAGGAGCACTGGGATCACTTGGCTCCCACCTGCAGCAGAACCCACCCTGTGAGCCCTCAGGGCAAGCACGGCCACACCCAGGCAGAGGCCTGCTGGTGGCAGAGCTCCCCGCAGTGGGAGCGCTCCTGACGCACCGAGGAGGCGGGGCCCAGCCGCACCTCCCACCCACAGTGGAGGACAGAGCACATTACGTTCAGAAGGATGCTCCCTGGCCTGCCAGCCTCCCCAGGTTCAGAGAAATGAGTCATGGAGAAGTGAGGTTGACCCGCGGCAGCCCTCTCTGCCTTGCACCGCAGGCTGTTGAGTCACTAAACTTGCCAGACATAATGGAGGTTCGGAGAAGAGTCTATCAGTGGTCAATGAGGGAAACAAAGAGATGCTTGCCATTTTAAGGTTTAAATAAATAGTCCTGAGTCAGTTGCTTCCCTTTGTGTGAAAACAGTAATCAGTAATGACATACTCAAAAATCAGAACCCTTTTGAAAAAGATTTACTGATGATAACAGTAAAGCCTAGGCAGCGTATCACGGTACCCAAAATAAAATTCAAGGACATAGGGGCTTGGGCAACAGTAGGTAAAGATGAGATGAAGTTGCCAAGTAAAGTGGAGCAGAAACGGAAGCAGATTTGGGATTCCTTTTTTAAAAATAAAAAAATAAGAACAGAATGGCTTTGCTTTCAGTGAGCGGACGAGTGGCCGAGCTCCCGCGTGCCCCCTGCCCCGCTGATGCACAAACTCCCCACCGTCGACGCCCCACGGCGGCACATCTGTGGCAGTCAGTGAGCCGCCACTGGCACACCGGTACCCCCCAAAGTCTGTAGTTGGCGTCTGTGTCACTCTTGGTGTGGCACGACGTATAGTCACCGCCCTCATGTCACACAGGGTAGTTTCACTGCCCTAAATGCCCCCGTGGCTGAGCATCTCTCCC